AAGTCAGACTTTGTTTTAGTATCAGCATCTCTGACATCATTCACCTCCCGGCTACACTGCTCCTACTAGAAGTGATTTCTGACAGAGGAAAGCACAAGAGCCTGGGGTCCGTTCAATACAAAAGGCACCTAGTCCATTTAAGACCATATTGTGTTACAAAGTATTTTATGATAACATTTGTGTGTAAAGACATGTTGGAAGCAATCCGAACCCCTTGGAAGAAAAGCCATATTTTCTGAGGAAGTTTCGGTAGACTAACAGGGTGTTTCGCATTCCATAATTATTTGATAATTGTCATTAATTATTTCCATTACTACTGCCCTGTCCCTCCCAAGTACAAGAAGTTCACAAATGTGCTGTGTGTTGGTCGAAATGCATGGGTCACTCTCCACTTCTCCACGGAAACATGTTTTCGGCCAGAATCACATGATACGTTCATTGAACACCAGACACTTGCCTCGGTTCCTCCCACACCTCCACAGCTGCACACCAGACAGATTTCAGTAAAAAATTATTTCTTTCACCAAAGTTTGATGAATCACCCTGAATAGCCTATTGGTCCTGTGTACTTTGGAGCCACTGACTTCCAGGAGCGAGCTCTTCTGTTGTTTTGATTGACACCTTTTCTACCAGCCTTAGGATATGGATCAGCATCAGAAAAGCATTGATCAGGTGGTGTGTCTGTCCGGGTAGGCCAGAGAAACAAATTCATAGAGACTCATATGTGAATAAGAAAGAGATTTATATACAAGAGCAACTGAATATTTAGAAAACATCGCAGCCTAGTCCAGATCAAGTCCACAAGGCAGACACGAGTCCACATGTCTGACACCAATCCACACAGTCCTCTTCAGACTCATGAAACACATGCAACGATGCTGAACACAGGACGATCACAGGCCAGTGGGTGCAAAGTCCTGTGGGTCCGGTGGTGTTGTAAGCACCTCAGTGCTGGCAGGGGTCTCTACGTGGCCTCTCCAACCCCCAGGGCATGCGGTCCATCAGTGCGGTGCCATGTGTCTTGTCAGTAGAGTGTCTCTCAGGGAGTGAGTGCTGTCAGTAAAGTCTCCAAGGGGGTGATCCCAGAGAGAGAGAGTCTGTCCCTCACCTCCAAGGAGGAAATCCAGGAATTCCCAGAATCCTTAGGGGAAGGCCATGGCCACACAGATGCCTCATTGGCTATATCCTGATTGGCAGCCTAGATTCCACCCATACACTCTTAATCCTCAAAATGACACCAGATTATGTAATTACCACAGGTGGGCCTAGATCAGAGGTACTCAACCTGTGGGTCGCAACCCCTTTGGGGGTAGAATGACCCTTTCACGGGGTGGCCTGATTCATAACAGTAGCAAAATGACAGTTATGCAGTAGCAACAAAAATAACTTTACGGTTGGGGGGTCACCATCACTGAGGAACTGAATGAAAGGGCCGCGGCATTAGGAAGGTTGAGAACCACTGGCCTAGACCAACAGATCTTGATCAACAGCCGAGGGAGTGTGCTGTGTGAAGTCCAGAGGCCTTCTGCAGGAAAGCAAAACACAAAACGTAGAAGACCCCAGGGAGCCATTTGCCAAGCCCAGCGGGGGAAGTGGATGTGGTGGTCAATGAGCTCTGGGTTATCCCAACTCCCCTGCCACCCACTGTGGGTTTGAGTTCCGGGCTCCCAGCCCAAACCAGGAAAGGTCAAGGGGCAGGGGCCACAGAGCACGCTGATTGAGTAGGGCATGGCTTTTGGAGACTGCTTGCATTTGAATTCTGGCTCTGCTCCTTTCCTGCTGTGGCTGTGTCCAGGGGGCTTAACCTCTCTGGGTCACAGGTTCCCTTACCGTTCGTGAAGATCATGAAAGTGCTAACTTCATAACCTGGTTAGGAGATTCACGAGGTTAAGGGTTAGCCGGTGCTCATCAGAGCACCGAGGCTGAAACCCGAAGTTACCTTTCTCTTCCCCAGAGTCAGAGGGCACAGGACTATTTACTTTATTAAACAAGCAGGTGGATTAATTGGGCAACAGTTCATGTGACTGTGTAGTATTCACGAAGTGTTTTCATTATAGGAATGTTTCTAATTTTTTGTGACCTCTGGTACGTACAGTTACCAAGAACTGTGGCCATCATGGCTTTCAAATAGTTAAGAATAAGTTGCAATTAGGACCAGGTAAGTTGGCAATGAGGCCTGTTCACCTTCCATGGTGCTGTGTGCAAATAAGTGTGCTAGAAAACAATGTACATCACCTACTTGCATGGGGACTATCCACCTCTCCACTCCTTCCCCTTGTCTAGTTTTTCAGTCAATGCCTTCCTTGGTTTCTGATGATAGGAACACCCAGTCCGATTGCTGGGTAGGAAGAATGATGGACTGTCTGCTCCCATAGAGATTTAAAACTTTGGAAACGCTCAGAGAACAAGTGTACTCTGTCTTCTAGGGTCACTATGAGTCGAAATCAACTGAATATCCATGAGTTTTTTGTTTTGTTTTTGTTATTAATTCTTGAGTACCACATGCAGATACACACACACACACACACACACACTCGGGATCAGGAGAGATCTGTCTGTTTCTCATTGACAAAGCATCAACTTCACTCCAGAATAAGCCATCGAAGAGAAATCCATTTAGTTCTTCATTTGTTTGTTCTTTGGGGGGAATGTCTTTGTGCCTAGCGACTGTTGCTCGCTGTCTCTGAGCTGGCCCCAGCCTTGTCCTGACCCTAGACGTTCCAGAGTGGAGCTGTTCCATGGGGTTTTCTCGGCTACAGTCATGATGGAAGCAGATGGTCTGGTGTGGTTTGTTTCTGCAGAGCCTCGGGTAGGCTTAACCCACCAACCTGCCTGATTGCCGCAGATCACAAACCATTTGTGATTCCCAGGCTCCTATATCACAGAACACCAAGCAAAGAAGAGGAGAACACTTAGAAATGAATAAAAATAGAGCAAAGAGGCATGGACCTACTTTCCAGAGCCTCACATTATAATTTATAGACCAACCACAGAGAGATGCGAGGTATCTCATGGATAAGGAACAAACCAAGGATGAGAGAAGGAAGGAAACTCAGATCAGAGAAGGGAAACTCCGCCAGAGCCAGAGGTAGAGGCCTGAAGAATGAAGCTGAAGCCATCTGAGAAAAACAGCTGGGGGACAGAAGTGATTTCAGCTTCTATGCACCAAAAACCTTGGTTAGTTAAAGTGTCTTCTTGGAGGGGGGTGTCTGTAAAAATATATATTTTTAAGGCATCATTCCATTTAAACGTTTTTGTGTGTTATCTTTGAGCCTGTTTGTCATCCAATGGCTTGCCTTTTGATTTTCCATACAGGTTCACTAGCTTTTCCCAAGATTTATTTTATGCAGTTCTCTGGCTTCCAAATCTGAGTAAGGGGCTTTAGGGCAGTGTCTGAGAATGCGGGGGGGAAAAATCATTCCTCTTCAAATTTCATACAAAAGAAAGGTGTGTGTGTGTGTGTGTGTGTGTGTGTGTGTGCGCGCGCTTGGGGAGGAGGGAGTGTGGTCAAACTGAGGACCAGTTTTGCCAATAAGTCCAGATGCTCACTTGAGGTTGTGTGATGGAAGGAGCAAAGAGAAGGAAGCTTTTACTGATGGGTTTCAGAAAGTTCCTGGGCTCCGCAAAGGTCACTGCCCCTCCAATCTGAACCATGTGAACTTCCATCCCAGTATATGCCTACTGGCATTATGTGCTAGGAAATGTCTGGGAAAGACCGAAATGTCCTTTCCGTAGACATCTGACTAGATCAAATTAGAGTCAGGGAAGGGCCCATCGTGGGCAGAAGTTATACTGGAAGATCAAAAGGGATCGACAAACACGTAAGGTCAAAATGGCACGGGGAAATTCTATACTTCGCTCTTTTATGGCCAGGATCCAGGCAACGGGGAAACTCCCAAAGCCAAATTAATTTCTGCTGTTTCTCCTTGCTTTAGTTGTGGCTACGCATTCCCATGGAAGGAGCCCCTTCTAGTTTAATCACCACTAGGGAGTCCTGGTGGTGTAGTGGCAACACATTGGGCTGCTAACCAGAAGGTCAGCAGTTCAAACCAACCAGCCCTTCCATGGGAGAAACAAGAGACTTTCCACTCCCATCAAGAGTTACAGTCTTGGAAACCCACAGTGGCATTTCTAGCCTGTCCTATATGGTCCCTATGCATTGAAATTGACTTTATGAGTTTGATGCTGAGGTGATTTAAAAGAAATTATTTTCTTTGTCTCCTTTCTCTGCCATTTGCCTCTCTTCCTTTCTCTTCAGATTTCTCTTTCCTGAAACACACCTCACATCATCATATGCAGCTTATTTTTGTATGCTAAATATGTCTAAGATTCCCATCTGCATCCTTAGAGATGTGATACAGCTGTTTAAAAATGAAGGCAGTTTTTAAAAACTCTGTCCCCTTAAGATAACAGGCATGGGACGCATTACAGCTTGGACCTAGCAGTGTACACAAACTAAAAGTTGTTCCATGAACACATATATATATGTGCATTTGGTAATTCATAGAGCATTTCTGGAAAGATAACTAAATAGTGAGCATACTGTTCACCTCCTATGTAACGAGGTGAGGGTCAAGATGACTTAAAATAAGGAGTGGGGATGTGATTTATTTTAGAGGAAATCATACCTACTTATTTTTCCCAAAAGCCCCCTTTGAAAACTCATGGAATGTATATTTGTATAATTATTTTACTAATATTGCCATTATAATTTTCTTATAATGTCAGTCTTGCAGGGCCCCTGACATGGAACCAAGCAACTGTGACGGAGCACTCGATGGATGCGCATTTAAATGACCTTTTCAGCATTTACTTAGAAATGTGTGGCACACGTTTAATGTTGCCTCAAAATGATTCTTACTCCAATGTCACATCCCTTCCCATTGGCCCTGGTCAGGCCCAATGACAGCAGATGTTGTGTAGATCTAGGTGGAAATAAGGTTTGAATGCTTACCCAGCAGGGGATATGCTAATGTGATCCAAAATGCAGCACAACTTACCAGTAAAACCTGTTCGGTACGACCCCTTCCTGGATAAGCTGCCACCTTCTCCCAAACTCGGCAGAGCTGTATAACTGGAGAGAAGAGAAAGTATTCAGCATCATGGTCCTGTGGGATGTGGACTCCACAAACATCAATTCATATAATCAACAGTAATAAAGATAATATCATCCATTTAGGGAGAACTTGCTGCAGGACAGGTGAGTGCATTATATGCACCACCTCTACTTCCCACATAAAGTCCTCAAGGCATATACTAATACCTTCCTTTGATAGTTGAGAAAATAGGCTCAGAAAGATTAAGTGGCTGGTTGGAAATCACACACCAGGTGAGTACGTAGTAGAATTGTCACCTTACCCAGTTCTGCCTGGTGACAAAGTTAGTTCTACCACTTGACTGGTCATGGGGCAGAGCATTGTGGGGGCTGTAAAGAACTTTAAGATCCTAGACTCTTGGTGAGCACAGTGCATCCTGGGTCTACCTAACCCAAGAAGAAAAGCACGAGGCGGTCAATAAGAAAGGGATGCAGAGGACAAAGGCTCAAAAGTCAACCCAAGGCAGATGGTAGAGCCTGTGGAGCTGTAGTTGGGATCTGAAAGTATGACAGCTTTCAAAATGTAAAAAAAAAAAAAAAATGGGAAAGGCATTACTGTTATGGCCCAGCCTGGAGCAATTTCTTGTGGCAAGGTATGAACATGTCGAGCTAAAGCTAAGGTCCTGTGTAAAATAACGTTGGATGCATAGGTTTAGGTCAACTCGGGAAAGGTCTGAATGCAAGACTAGGTGGTCAGCCCTGATCCTGAAGACAAAGAGATGCCCATGTGAACCGAGGAAGCTCAGACTGCAATGATGACAGGAGACGTACACAACGCTCTTTCTCTGATCCAGGGGCTTCAAAGTCCTTGTCTGATTTAATCTGCACCCCACCCCGGGGTGACAGGACCTTTTCTCATCATTTTACAATGAGTTACACAGCCAGGACATTCCCAAATCTCCTGACTCCAAGCCTTCAGTCTGCCACAGAATCATGGCTCATGGGATGGGCACTGACCTTCCAGAAACACCTCCCTTCCCCTACATCCTCATCTCTCTTGCTCTCTTGCCATCGCTGCTGTTCTCGGATCAACTTTTCAGCACCAGGGAACTCTTGTCTGCCTCCAGAAGTTTCCTCTGATGTAACTTGCAGATTCTGACTGCTTTGGGTTTCATGGGCTCGTGGCCACATTTTATGCTTCAAAAATTACCATTTGGAATCATCCGGAAAGTGTCCTTTCTTCTACAAGCCTAGTCTGTAACCCATTTACACCCTTAACTGCCACAATCTCACTGCTGACTCCCACAGAGAATAGATGGTGAGTCACAGTTTGCAGGGCTTCTCCATTCTCCCCAAGCCCAGCACTCAGTGAGGGGTCAAATGATTCACCAAATGACTCAACAAGGCTGCAAATGCATCAAGCACGTCCAAGGTACAACTGAACTCCAGTTGAGTATTTGCTGACCCTTGAATGAGCTTGCTGTAGCATTGTGTCTCTTGGATGAAAATATATCTAATACCCAAAAAAGGCTGCATTTTCTGGCTATTAAAGCAAGCAGATTGAATGGCTTCAACAGCAGAACTTGGGCGTGCAGCCAGGGAAGAGCCGGGGTGATTTCTTTCTAAGCCTTTTCTTTTTTTGGTTTCATTCCTTAGAGCAGCTTTAGGTTAATAGAGAAGTTGTGCAGAAAGTACACAGTTCCTCACTGCATCCTGGTTGACCTATTATTAACATCTTGCATTCTGATGGTATATGTGTTCCAAACACATATTGGAGAAACATATTGATACAATGTACAGCGTACAGTTATATCACCATGAACCTGAAAGCATAATGACAGATGTCTATAATTAGAAGATCATACAGAATAATTTTACTGCCCTAAGGATGTCCTGTGACCTATCTATCCATCCTTGGGCCTCTCCTTCCCTCGGACAACCACGGATCTTGTTGCTCTCTTGCTGTTATTGGTAGGTACTGTCAAGTTGGTTCTGACTCAGAGCGACCCTGTGTACAACAGAATGAAACACCATGGCCTGGTCCTGCACCCTTCTCACAACTGTTGTTTTGTTTAACCCCATTGTTATAGCCACTGTGTCCACCCATCTCTTTAAAGGTCTTCCTCATTTTTACTGCCCTTCTCCAACTCTGATAGCCTTTTCCAGGGCTGGACTCTCCTGATAACACATCCAGGTCCAAAGTACATGAGACAAAGTCCCACCATCCTCACTTCTGAGGAGCATTCTGGCTCTACTTCTTTCAAGACAGAATGAAACACATCTTTTGCTTTGTTTTTTTTCTGGAAAGTCGTAGACTCATGTGTCAGAGCAAAACTGTAGGTCAATGTGCAACCACATTATACATTTATTAACCCAATCCCTGGAAAGTCTGTTATATTAAAATATTGAGGTATGTATGAGGGTTTGAATAGCATCCAATACATGGAAACTACTTTGGGGCTGGCATCAAAACATCATTATAGCTCTACTGTAGGTTAATGAGGCTTTAATGTACCTGAAAGCTTTTCTGTAACCTTTTTTATATGTAGGGAAGACTGAAGTAGAATTGTTGCCTTTGAATTATGATACTGACAAAGAACACTAACTACAACATGCACTGGCAGAAGAAAGAACAAATTCAGGAAGAAGTAATATGAAAACACTCCCTTAGTGCTTGGGCATTTGAAGAGGAGGGACCGACCAATCCCTGGGGGTAAAACAGAGGGCTGAAGAAAAAGATGCCAGCGGTAAGGAGATGGATTGACACATTGTATTCAGCAATGGATACAACGGATACAAACACAGGAATGACGGTCAGGAGGGCTCCGGGTCTGGCTATGTTTTATTGTTCTGCACATAGAGTCATTATAAATGGGAACTAACTTGGTGGTGCCTAACAATGCAGCAACATCGGTAGAATGCTACAATATATTTATTTCATACTAAGACAAATATTTGACTAATGCTAGAAATAAACAGTATCCAGCTGTTGTTCATCCAGCTTACAAGCAAATTCTACTTAAAGACAGACTCAGGATTGAAAGTGGTTTAGAACTGGTATTTCCACACATTAACCACCTAGCACCCTAGTCCACAGAACAGAACATGGACATTATGGGACACATGACAGTCAATGGAATCATACTATGCAGCTTCATTTAGCAACATCCATTGGAGGTTCCTCGACATATTTTGCCTACCTTAATAGCTCATTTCTTTTTAGCACTTAATAATACTCTTCTAAGTCTTTTTTTTTTAGGTGTGAGGAAGACTTGGTAGTTAGTGATATAAATGTTGCCTTTCTTACAAGAGACCTGGGTTTGATTACCAGCCAATGGACCACATGTGCAGCTAACCTCCTACTTGTCAGTGAAAGTTTATAAGTTGTCATGATATTGTTTGCTCCAGAAAGATGTACAAATTCTCAGAAATCCTGTATCAAAACAGAAAAGCAAGCAAACAAACAAAAACCCATTGCTGCTGCGTCCATGCCAACTCATAGCCCCCCTATACGATGTGGGAGAATTGCTCCTGGGGGTTTCCAAGAGTGTAATCCTGTACAGGAGCTCAAAGTCTCCACTTTCGCCCATGGCCTGGCTGGTAAGGTTTCGAACTGCCAACCTTTCAGTTAGCAGCCCTACACAGAACCACTACAACACCATGGTTCTGAAACCCTGTATAGAATTGGAGTCAAATACATGGCAGTGGGTTTGGGTTTTTTGGTTTTTGTTGTTGTTTGCTTGAATGTAGCTGGGCAGGTTCAGCAGACCTTCCGGACTAAGACAGACAGACAGACAGACAGACGAGAGAGAAATGCCTAGCAATCCACTTCTGTAAGTCAGCCAATGAAAACCCTATGGTTCATCAAAACTCAATCCAGCAACTGAGCCTGGGGATGATATAACAACCAGCAGTGTTTTTATTCCATTGTGCAGGGCTTTCCCATGAGTTTGGGTTAGCTTAACAGAAGCTGAAAATAACAATGAAGTGCTTTTTAAATATTTCTTCTCTGCCCCTTCATGCCCTATCGTAATTATCTAGGTGCATCCTAGTGCTGGGTTCGGTTTAAGAAGAGACAGGGTGACAGCTCTCCTCACGACATTACCTAGGGTTGGAAATGCATGCCCTCTGAATTCGGGACCCAGGCAGCCACGGTTCACATACGCTTTGCTTCTTGCATCCCAGTATGCACTGAACATTTGAATTTAATACATACTTGCTTGCAGCAAGTCCTCAATGTGGGAGGATCTGTTTCTCCCTCTCCCCTCGCTCTCTTTTGGACCCTAGATCTTCTTTCCATGGACTTAAAGAGGGCATACAGTTGGGTGCTTCCGTCAACACATAAATATACCGTGATACCCAGGTATAAAGATTAATGCAAATGTAACCGAGTCAGAACCTCCCCCTGTGTGTGAAGGTTGGTCTGCCTATGTGTCTCAAAGGAGTCCTATAGAGAGTCTGAGGGCCCATAAGACTCCCCTTGAGGATTAGCATCCTTGTTCCCACACAGGACTCATTGCTGTGAAGGACACTTGGGTGCTCGTATCAATCTTTCCTCCCCCTCCTTTTTTCTATGTCCTTTTAAATTGATCCCCTAGGCTCGGATTTGGAACTGTGGGCCGCACAGTTATCTCCCGTGATGCTTGCTTATATCCTCTGCGTGGAGCCGCTGTCTTATTTGCAAGCATCCAGAGGTCCCTCGAGCACAGGGTGTACCAAACAACGCAATAAACCAAGCCTCTGCCATTCAGCTCAATGACAGCCCTTTTCAATTCCATCTCGGGAAAGGTACCCTTTGGTCTCAGGGGACTTTCCCCTGGCGAGATCTCCCCAGTGTTCCTTCAAAATGAAGCAGGGTAGCTTCAAGCCTTGTCCACCCCAACCCCAGTTTGTTCGCGGGCCCTGAGCAAAGGCCACTTTCTCATAAACTTTGCTTTGCTTGCTGGTTTCAAGAAATCACAACACAGCAATGAATATACAATCAATGTACCGTGCAGACATTTCTATTTAACTGTCGTAGGAGGTCTCTTAAGAGAGGC